ATCAATCCAAGCAAAGATGGCCGTCACAGCTGAGCAACCTTAGCAAACACAAAAATGGCTACAACACCACAGTCACAGTTATACTGAGCTAAAAGCAGGTGTGAGACTCATTCCCAACTTTTACTCCAAGCACTGATCACACCAGAACTGTTGTTAAACTTTGCCATTAAGTACTGGAGTCAACTATCTGTTAGCAAAATATCTTATAACCCTCTGGATAGATGTTGATGAAACATACAGAAAATAACTTTTGGATTCACCTGTTTAAGATGCTTTCTACATCTAATCAACCACAGCTAACACATAAATGACTAACTCGGTTCATTTTACGGACATGGAGCTAAATTTTGCTAATTAGCTAATGGACGAATGAGGAACAGTGATAGAAGCAGCTATCTTGGGACAGGTGAAGGTTCAATTCCCTGCCGTGCCCATATGTTGTCTGGTCCTTGAACAAGTCCTGCTCCAGGTCATGTTAGTTTAAACACTTGTGAGATCTCACAATACTGCATAAGATTGTGCAAATTTATTACTTTCAGGTTTGACAAAAATAATAATGCAATAACCTGTACTGTATAAAACCACTGAGCTGAATGAACTGAATCAAATGGGCTTTTTCTAAATGTTTACTGTAACAAAAATAAGCTTGAAAAGTTAAGCTTGCAAAACAAATTGCCTTCATCAGATTTGTTTTTAAAAACTAAAAGTGAAACTAGCATATTTACTAAAAAAATAACAATGTTCTAAAATGTGTATGTCTGAAAATGTATTTAATAATTTAGTATCTCATTAGGGTTTTTAAGAGATTGAAAAAATAGTTATAATGTATGACCAATATTAGCTGTAAGGAAGGAAAAAACATTTTTTTTATGTTTATACACTCCCAAGTAGGTCAAAGGCTGTTTCTCACCGTCACACAGCAGCCACCCAACACACACACGCACACACACGCACACCCACACAAAGAGGAAGAGGTCAAAACCCACTCTCACAAACAGCAGAAACAGATAATGGCATCATGGGTAAGATCTCTGAATGCAAGTGTCAAATTGGTGGCAAGTCTAGGCATGTTGTGAGACCTGAGAGTCCAGCACACACACACACACACACACCCACGCACACACACACACATTGCAGTCTCATACACTAGGTGGAGATACCGAGTTGACAATTTTACACTTTTATCTATATCGTAAATTAACTGTATAAATGGGAGTTGCAGACAAGATAAATTATTTTCAAAAAGTAACTACAATGTTTGTTAAACTGTCATCTATCTATCTATCTGTCTGTCTGTCTGTCTGTCTGTCTGTCTGTCTGCCTGCCTGCCTGCCTGCCTGCCTGCCTGCCTGCCTGCCTGCCTGCCTGTCTGTCTGTCTATCTATCTATCTATCTATCTATCTATCTATCTATCTATCTATCT